CTTCAATAACAAACAGATAAACTGGGAGCAAATAAACCAGGACTTCACAGAAATAAACTGGAAAGAACAGCTAGAAAATGCAAACCTGAACCAGTGCCTGGAAAAAATAAGCTCAGTAGCACTAGAAATATGTTCAAACCGCATACCCCTAAGAAAAAAGAGAAAGAGATGCAGATTGGAACGGGAACGTCGTTCCCTATATAGGCGAAGAAAACGAATCGCGGAACAACTTGAGAGTCGCACCCTATCTCAAGAACGGCAAAGGAGATTAGATAGAGAAATAGAAACAATTGATCTCAAGCTACAAGAATCATACAAAACCCAGGAGAGGCAAAGTGAGCAAAAGGCCATCAGTGAAACAGAGAAATCCAAAATATTTTTTCTCCTATGCAAAATCAAGATCAAAAACCACTTCTAGTATCAGGCCCCTGCGAAAGGGAGATGGAACTTTCACCGATGACAACAAAGAAATGAGCGAGTTACTGAGAAAGTAACAGTACGACTCTGTTTTCAGCGAGCCATTAAATGCACTAAAGACTGATAACCCAAATGAATTTTTCATGGATATGATACCAACATCAAATCATATATCAGACGTCGCCCTATCCCCACTAGATTTTGAAGAAGCCATAAACAGTATGCCTATGCACTCTGCACCAGGCCCGGATACTTGGAACTCCATATTCATCAAGAACTGTAAAAAACCACTATCGCAGGCCCTCCACATTCTGTGGAGACAAAGCCTAGATACTGGCGTTATCCCTGACATACTAAAAACAGCAGAGATAGCACCACTCCATAAAGGAGGAAATAAGGCAGAGGCAAAAATTACAGACTGATAGTACTAACATCGCACATCATAAAAATTTTTGAGAGAGAGCTAAGAAGTAAGATCACAAAATACATGGAATCACAGCATCTCCATAACCCCGGACAACATGGTTTCAGAACAGGGCGCTCTTGCCTGTCGCAGTTGCTGGACCACTATGACATGGCATTAGATGCTATGGAAGACAAACAAAACGCTGATGTAATTTACACAGATTTCGCAAAAGCTTTTGATAAATGTGACCATGGTGTTATTGCACATAAAATGCGTTCAAAAGGAATTACCGGGAAAATAGGCAGATGGATCTACAATTTCCTGACTAACAGAACTCAATGTGTAATAGTCAACAAAATAAAATCCAGCCCATCAACCGTGAAGAGCTCAGTCCCCCAGGGTACTGTGCTTGCTCCAGTACTTTTTCTCATCCTCATATCGGACATAGACAAGAACACAACCTATAGCACTGTATCATCGTTTGCAGATGACACTAGGATTTTCAAGAGAGTAGGCAACATAGAGGACACGGCAAACCTCCAGTCAGATGTAGATCAGGTCTTTCTATGGGCTACAGAAAATAATATGGTGTTTAACGAGGATAAGTTCCAGCTCATGCGCTACGGAAAAATTGAAAATATAAAAACAGAAACCACGTACAAAACTCAGGCAAATCATAACATAGAACGAAAAGGCAATGTAAAGGATCTGGGTGTACTCATGTCGGAAGACCTTACCTTTAAAGAACACAATAAAGTAGCCGTCACAACTGCAAGAAAAATGACAGGTTGGATAACAAGAACTTTTCACACTAGAGATGCTATACCGATGATGATACTTTTCAAAACGCTTGTGCTCTCTAGAGTGGAGTACTGCTGCACAAGGACAGCCCCTTTCAAAGCTGGAGAAATTGCTGACCTGGAGAGCGTGCAGAGATCCTTTACTGCTAGAATCCACTCAGTAAAACATCTAAATTACTGGGACCAACTAAAGAGCCTAAATCTGTACTCCCTTGAGCGCAGGCGGGAGAGATACATAATAATTTACACGTGGAAAATAATTGAGGGGCTAGTCCCAAATCTGCACACAGAAATAACATCACATGAGATCAGAAGACATGGCAGGATGTGCAGAATACACCCTTTGAAAAGCAGAGGTGCAACAGGTACTCTGAGAGAGAACTCTATCAACATCAGAGGCCCGAGACTGTTCAACACGCTTCCACTACACATATGGGGCATAACTGGCTGACCCCTCACAGTGTTCAAGAGAGAACTAGATAAGCACCTCCAAAGGATACCTGAACAACCAGGCTGTGACTCATACGTCAGGCTGCGAGCAGCTGCATCTAACAGCCTGGTTGATCAGTCCAGCAACCAGGAGGCCTGGTCGATGACCGGGCCGCGGGGACACTAAGCCCCGAAGCACCTCAAGGTAACCTCAAGGTAAGGTAACCTGATGTTATAATTTAAGGAGACTCCTCTTCTAAAGACTAATGCCTCTCCTCCTCCCCCCTCCTCCTCACCGTCTTCCATACACCAACAAGAGTCCTCATTCAAGGTACTCTACTTGGTAAGATATACATGTATGTATATCTATGATGTATATCTACTAGGTAAGATATACATACTGTATTGTAGTGTTATTCGGTATAAAATGTATTTTTAAGTTAATATTTGTGGGGGTGTGGAACAGATTAATTCAATTCCCATTATTTCTTATGGGAAAATTAATTTCTACTTATGATATTTTGACTTACGATCCGTCTCTGGGAATGGATTTAAATCGTAAGTCGAGGCACCACTGAACAAAGGGAGATGCTGACACCATGCCGACGCAAAGAGATCCACCTCTAGGCGACCATACATCCGGCAAAGCCAAAGGAAGGAAGCAGCATCAACCATCAACTGCGTGGAAAGAGGAATGAAATAAACAGGCCATTTGCCAGGACATTGGACACTCCCTGAATGTGAACAGTGTGGAGAGCTAATCCCCAAGAACTCAGCAGAAGAGCTACCCGAGGCAACCAGCTCCAAAGAGCCAAGGACCGAAGAGACCCCCCCCCCTTCCCCCAGTTAAGACAATGTATCACAGGGGAGTAGTTTGAATGGAGACGGATCACCGAGCCCCGAGGAAGCCAAATCCTCTGGCAGCATCAGCCACACAGCCACAAACTCCTGCACCTTGCTGTGAGCGCGACACATGGACTGCCGTAAATTCCCTCTTGCCAGACTTGTGAATACTGGTCACAAAGTCCCAACCAACAGACGAGGCATCCGTAAACACATCGAGCAAAGGAGGAGGAAGGCACCATGGTACCGAACCCAGTAAGAGCGAGAGCGGCAAACGAGGCTACCCCATAATAAGGTGTTAAACAGCACTCCTGTGCAAAACAGGCAAAAAAAAAAAGACAGCAAACCGAAACAAAAACAAGAAACTGCTGAAACTCCACAACAGCAAAAGAAGCAGTCGGAGAGAAATGTCAGCCACCATGTCATAGCTGAAGCAGGCTGCACCAGTCGCAGTGCTCCCCACCAGCCAATAAACATTACCCTACCTGGGGCAAGGCAGAAGGCCCAAGACCTCCGACATACCCCAAGGGCGAAGACAACCACATGCAAAGAAGTCCTCTAATGTGGAGTGAATCCCAAACTCCCCAGGGAAGAGAACCCCCTGACCATACAAGGGCAGTATTCACGGAACGCCTAGGGAAGGTGTCCCTAAATGCATGCAGCACGGGTACCCTGGAACTCCTGGACAGTGCACACCACAAGTGCAAGAACAGCCTCATAAGGCTCAGAACTTGAGAACAGAACTCACAAAATCTCAGAACAGGAAATCATATACAGAGGCAACATTCGACTAGCAAGCACATCAGTCAGGAGCTAAACGATAGCGGCCCGGCTCCCACTTCACCTGTGGATGGTTAATTGAACAAAGTGTTGGCTAGTTTCTTTTCTTTGTAGAGGAGTTCTTTTGCATCTTGACAATATAAGTTACAATTTTCATCCAGACAGTTGTTTGTTTTGTGTTGCCTACCTTTCTGGGTGCCTTCCTTGGTCAATGGCAAGTATGACAGACTTTAAATGTAAAGCATTCATAGGCCATTGCTCCCTGCGCCTCACTGAGGGGGGGGGGCCAGGTTCTGGCCCTGGTGCCTGGTAGGCAACAATAACTCTGCAACTGATGACCCAAAATAGGATAGTAGGAGATCAGTAGAATATGCAGACATGAGTCACAATAATGTGGCTGAAGATATGATGACTAAACCACACAACAAAAGTTGAAGAAAGACAACGTTTTGGTCCGTTCTGGACCATTATCAGGTCATCACATATGACCTAATAATGGTCCAGGATGGAGCAAAATGTTGTTGTTTCTTCATCATCTAGTGTGTGGTTTGTTCATCATCAGTAGGATAGCTTCAGCGAGCCAACGGGGCTCCCCCACAAAAACAGGGCGTTTCATGGGTGCATGGAATAATTTCCGTCTTTTGTTTATGAGGATGAGTTGCATTGACAGAGACATACTGGAGCCTGTCACTGAGTTAAGATTGCAGGTATTAGAAGGCATGACCCCGGACTAAAAACCTAGAGGCTTTTTTTGTAAATAAGAGTTAGTATCTCAGCAGAGATACTTGACATAGTTTTAAGTGAGAGGATTATATCATTAACATCTGAGGAATTTGTGGAAGTTAGGCACAGAGACTCAGGATAGTTGCCTGTAAGGTGGTCATCGGCATTGGTTTGGATCGCTGGGATATCATTTGCAAGGAATGTGATAATGGATGAGAATAAACTATTGAATTTAATGGCAAATATATTTCTTAATGTATTTTGTTGCAGGTATCAAAATCATAAATATATAATATATAAAATAATCTATAGTGACTGAATAGAAACCAAATATACAAGTGGGTGGATAAACAGCTGAACAGATGGATGGCTGAACAGATGGATGGCTGAACAGACAGATGGCTGAACAGACGGATGGGTAAACAGATGGACAGCTGAACGTTGTCAACTGAACATGTGCCATCACAATACAATGTGTTCCACAAAACCGTTAGCATGATGTTGAGTTAGAAATTGTTAAATGTAAAAGTTACCTTTCTAAAGTACATTATTGAAGTTACTGCAAAGCATGTTCAAACCATGTAAATAATGCATGCAGTTACCTGGCAAGGTTGGTGGAGGGGCCAGGTAGGAAGAAGCAGGCTTATCACACTCACGGGTCTCTTCGTGCTTGTGGTGATGGTTCTTGAGAATGCTAAAGGCATGCGGCGGGTCAGCAGTTAGAGAGAATGAGGCGAAGGAAGAAGCAGGCTTATCACACTCACGGGTCTCTTCGTGCTTGTGGTGATGGTTCTTGAGAATGCTAAAGGCATGCGGCGGGTCAGCAGTTAGAGAGAATGAGGCGAAGGAAGAAGCAGGCTTATCACACTCACGGGTCTCTTCGTGCTCGTGGTGATGGTTCTTGAGAATGCTAAAGGCATGCGGCGGGTCAGTAATCATAGGGAACGAGGCGCTGCGGCTTACCAGGAGCTCTACATTAGTTTTAAGATTTTCGACTACAGGAGCTGAAGAGGAAGGATATGTTAAACCAGATAATTCTTCCAATGGAAGTCTCTCTTTCTCAGAAGATGAACCAACATCACCATAGCTAGAGGGGTTATAGTCCAGGCTAAGATCAACTGCACCAAGCGGAGAACTAGACGAAGAAATTATCCTTGTCAAGGTAAGGTTGTGGGATTCCATTAAAAGAGGAGAGGAGGAATTACTAAACTTTTCTTGTAGATTATCCAAGTTTGCAAATTCATTTATGGACAAAGCTGCCAGTGCATCATTATTGACCTTGCCAGCTGTAGAATTGTCTAATATGCCACAATAATCTAGAGTCTGCGAAAGGTCATTCATGGCATGCACTCTACATGTACAAGCTCCACTAATATCAGTGTTTCCCTCTGTAGTTACTTTGTTATCATTTATAACATGCTCATTATTTATACTAGATAAATATGTACAGATGCACATGTCCTTTACAGGTATACCTGGTCGAGTGGGAACCTGTTGAATATCATCCACATCACCAGCATCTGTGTTAACACCTGAAGATTTAGTTAAATTTCCTTGATGTGATGCAGCAGGTGTTTTGGCAGAGGTTAGTAGGTTGTCGGAGGATGACGGAAGGGAGTTGGGTGAGTGAGAGCCGGGGTTGTGTTTCTTGCAGATGTGTCTGCCACCTGGCCGAGGATCTTGCTGCCAGGAAAAATACCACATGAAAGGTTAGCAACATTAATCAAGCATTATTACACACAGAAATCACAATAGCGTGATGCATCAAATGAACAAATCCACAAGGGCCATGACGAGGGTTCGAACCTACGTCCGAGAGAATAACAGACGCTGACTTAATCAAGGCAGTATTGTATTGAGGAATATATGTGATTTAAGGTCAGTAGAACTTCCAGTTGCAATTCTTTTACCATGTCATAGCTCAGTCGATTAACACTTAGACCGCGCAATACATATATAGATGATTTGAGAAACAAAACCAGAACCGCGCAATACATTAATAGCTGTTTTAGTGTCTAGCGCCTTAATTTAAATGCCCCACATGGGATAGGGGCAGCTATAGTGCAGCTACGCCTGATAGTTGACAGACGCCACCTAGAAAAAAAATCCTGGCCAACATTCCTGGGTGTGAGAGCTTCAATACTGAGCAAGCCACCAAGGCTTGCTCACGCACGCAGCATGAGCTCACAACACCGCTGTTCAGCTTGTGACCACAGCATCACCTAAAAATGTCAAAATATATATGTTCATGCTATTATTTAACTATGATAATAATATAGAAGACCCCTGACTGTGATAAAACTGACCAGGATTCTGATAATAGCAGGATTGTGGTGATATTTAGCACTGGGCTCCATGGAGGGAGGAGAAATGTTGAGGGAGGGAGGGAGGTGGCATTGTCTTCTGACTGTGTGTGGCCACCTTTTATTGACTGGACTTACCACACCAGCTTAGTGGTTCACTATGGTGAACACAAATGTAGATACTTATGTATAACGTGTGTATAGACTGTAATACAGCAATAGGAGTATGTTGGGAGCCGCCATTTTGGTGAGGGAGGTGCATCGTATGTGCATCGTTTTTTTTTTGTTGCGCCTGTGGGTGTTGAAGCCATTATGACCCTTAGTGGCCCAAGGGTTAAGGCAGCGTCTGGGATCCTGTCGAACGTAGGTTTGAACCCTCATCACGGCCCTTGTAGATTTGTTCAAGCATTATTAACTTTTGTAACTTTGCCTTTGTTGTGAGCCATTCCATAAAAAATACCATTTGAGAAATTACTAATAACATCAAGCATAAAATGTGTCATCGATATACAGATTTATAAATTATAACTCTGGTTTTACTACATATCTGTAAATTACAGCATTTACGAGTGTATAAAAAGCAAGTGTTAAAGAATATTAATAAAGCCACAAGTGTTAACACAGACCGTCAGTAAGTGCAAGCCATAGCATGTAATGTCATGCAAAAATAAATCACGGCTTTGATTGACCACAAAAAGCACCTTTCAGAGCATTACATTAAGTTCTTTACTAAAGCCACATCTTTTCTGGTTTCATTAGAAAGGGTCATAGACCAGCCTGTCCTTGTAAGGTTCCTAACATCAAGAAAACTGTAAATTTAATGTGTTCTCTCCTAACCTACCAGAGAACCCAAAACAAAAAACAGGACAGTACGTCACTTTTGCGAGTCACTTGCATTTTCTAATACGACAATTTTTGGCCTTATGTAACGCAAACGAGCAAAAAGCGACGTTCTTTGTAGGAGGACAGATTGCATAGACAGTGATGGCATGTACACAGTTGGGTCTTACACGACACGGGTCTTTTCAATCCATCCCTACCGGGTCAGGTATATTCACAGTCATGGAGCCCTTTCAAGCACCTTTTTTTCATCACAGACAGCAAAGTAGGATTCATGCCGTCTGTTCGTTGACCCACCTAGCATCCAAACACCCACCTAACCTATCGAGGCTGATACATGTACAGTGTACATACTTAGAAAATGTAAATATTACTGAACTTTAATTTTTTGACTAATTCATGAGATTATTAATAGATTAGTTGATCTCACAAAATACAACATATTAGGTGAGAGGTCATTTTGACCCAAGACTGCCATCAAGTGACACCATTGGCACCAATCATTAATCTAGAGTCATATTTTTTCTTATGTCCTTAAAAAATCAAGAGTACCTCCAGTTCATAAAGGAGGCAATACAGCTGACAAACAATTACAGACCAATATCAAATCTACCAACACTATCAAAAAATATTTTATAAAATTATTTACAAACAGCTCTAGTCCTACCTTCTAAAATGTAACATATTAAGTCCCTGCCAGTTTGGCTTCCATTCCCAAAAAGAGTGCCAATTATGCCATTATTAGTCTGTTTGATATAAACTACACAGCTTCAAATGCCTACTAGAGTTTAACTCGAGCAAGTGCAAAGTGATGAAGATAGACGTAGAGAACAGGAGGAGAAACACAAGGTACCAGCTGGGAGAAGAAATCCTTCAGAAGTCAAGAAGAGAGAAAGCTCTGGAGGCCGATATCAAACCAGACCTGTCCCCTGAAGCCCACATCAAAAGGATAACATCAGCAGCATATGCAAGGCTGGCAAACATAAGAACTACCTTCAGACACTTGTATAAGGAATCATTCAGAACCTTGTATACTTCATATGTCAGACCAATACTGGAATATGCAGTTCCACCCTGAAGTCCACATCTAGTCAAACCCAAAGCAAAGTTACAAAAGGTTCAGAGGTATACCAACAGGCTAGTTCTCGAGCTGAGGGGTATGAGCTACATAGCAATTGTAACCTATCATTGATTTTTATGTGATTGTTACACATAAGGGGCATAACTGGCCGACCCCTCACAGTGTTCAAGAGAGAACTTGACAAACACCTCCAAAGGATATCTGATCAACCAGGCTGTGACTTATACATCAGGCTGCGAGCAGCCGCATCCAACAGCCTGGCTGACCAGTCCAGCAAAGAGGAGGCCTGGTCGACAACCGGGCCGCGGGGTCGCTAAGCCTCAAAATCACCTCAAGGTAAGGTAACCACTGCTGCCCACTGGATGGGAGAGGGGGCGGTGTGCAGGATAAACATATCAATTGTGACTAGCTCTCCACATATGTCAGTTGCCTAATTTAGAAACTGTACTTGTAGTCGGTCTCAAGCTCATTGTTGATATGACGAGGTGCATTGATGTTTGTAACTAGCTCATCAAGACTAACTTGCTTAGTTACATGAATTGTGGGGTTCAATCCCTGAGCCCATTATGTGCCTCTGTAACCCTTTGCACTACCGCCCATATGATTGGTATGGTGTGCATAAAAAATGAGCTAAACTACTAAACTAAACTAAACTAACTTTAACTGAATACTGTCACTGCCCTTTCACAAATAGTCCAGAAACTAGTATGGAAGCAGCTCAGTACAGTGATGCTGTAATGTACTGTATTGTGCCGGTGCTGCCACCTGGCAATGCTTTGAGGTATGTAGCAGCATGGCAGGCCACCTTGAATAATTTTTGGAGATATTTCTCCAATCAGTTGTAATGTACATTTCTCTACTGTTTTATCAGCACCAGTATGACCCAGAAGTGAGGCTGTAAAAAGTCAATACAATGCCTGTGCAGAATGTCTAGCTGCCATGTCTATGATCCTTTCCAATGAAACCATAAGAACCTTGCCTTAGAAAGAAACCAGGAGGGATAGCTCAGAAAAATGTTGATGGCAGCCACTTGTTTATTGGTTGGTTAATTAATGAATATAAACTAAAAAAAAATCTGAATTTTTGTAAATTTCTTTATAGGTGCAGATATATTATTCAAAATTCATTAATTTCCTTGAAAATAATAAAACGTGCCAACTCTGCTCAAACTTTCATAACACAGAGGAACCTGCAAACTAAAGATCGTTACAACACCGTGCATTCTATGGGATAATTGTCATACACCTATGCAAATAAATAAGTCACAAGCAGGTTAAAATGCTACTGTAGGAAAAAATTAAAATGTGTGTGTAAATTTTGTTCTCAGGATGAGGACAATGTAGTGGTAGCCATTACATAAATCTAATCAGTGGTGGAAATGTCCATTACAAATGAGTGTCTCAAGACGGGAGGAGGAGTGGGGTCGAGTCGTCTACTCGAGGTCGGCCCCAGCAGCATAAGAAGTATCTTTGGAGAAGTTCGGAGAAGGAGCGGGAACTGCCATCTGTGTCCCCCTACACAGTAAAAATGCCAGTAATAGTCAAAATAGCTCGGTGTTTACTTCAATATACAGTACTGCAAAAGCCCAGCACTGAATGTAATGAAATGCCTCTTTTCTGGTAGAGCCCCAAATGGCTTCATAAAGCTATCTCACTCAAGCTGCTCCACCTAAAGGGTCACATTAGTCACAAGAGATATCTGTTTGTCCTACCAGGGACCAGAGCCAGAATCTAGTCCCTCACAGAGGTGCAGAAAGTGAGTGATAATTCACCACCCCACCAGGAAAGAATCCAGAAAGTGAGTGAAGCTTTACAGACAACTGGAAGGTTCACAGAAAATGAAGCGTCAAAACTGTTAGACAACTCCACAAATGATTAAAACAAAACAATAGATTCACTCTAAACTAGATCAAACTCATTAGTATCACTAACTGCTGCCAGGCAACCTGACCCCAGCCTACAGCCAGCTCCCCTGACCAGCAAATTCTGGAGTTGATAAACAGCTCACCAAAGAACAAACAAACTTGAAGGGAAGGGCGGGAAACAGGGAGCCAATGAAGCTGTACCAGAAAGAGGGATTTCATTACCTTCAATTCTGGGTTTCTTGGGAAGCTTCCCCCCCCCCATGCTGGTGACTCCCTGAAGCTAATTAACCACAGAGAAGAGGTGACAGGTACTAAGACGAAGGAGATAATCCAGGCCAAGGGACATGGGGTCAAACCAACACAAGACTGACTTGGACCAAGAACATTAACCAATTATAAGCCGCAAGAACTCTGTTAGACCGCCAAAATCTACATGTCTGAATATCAGCTCAGGACATATTAGTGAAGCCAAATGCCAAAGCAGCATACTTGCAAACATCATGGGCTTGAGGGCAGATTGCAGGTTCGCTGGACTTAATGACACAGCAGATGACCTGGGAAATGCGAGCCTTGAAACAGGGAACCACAGAAATGA